ATATATAGAAATCAACCTGAACTTTTTCGTTCCATCAAGAAACTGACACTTCATTGTGTAGCAACAGAAGGTTGCTAAAAACAAATATAGTAGTTTGTGGTAGTAGTAATGACAGTGCAGTAATAATAGCAGCAACTAACATTCAAGTGGCTACTCTATGTGAAGCAGAGTTCCATACATTTTATTTGGATTATCTCATTTTATCTATACAGTTACCCCACGAAATTGGTACTCTTATTATTCCCACTATGCAGATGAAGAAACAGACTCTCAAAGACGTTACATAACTTGTCCAAAATCACATACACAGTAAGCGACGGGGTCAGAATTCACTTCCAGGCATTGGACTCCAAAGACTCTATGCAGAAACTTACAAAGGAAATTTAACGTTTGTATTACTTTAGTGTTTTTGCTGAAATAATTTTATGTGGAGAGAATAAGTTTATTTTTATTAAATAGCATCAAACATTTTTAAATAAGGAAATGCAAACAATTCAATTTTTACCGCATTTTCTCTCAAGCTGATGTACACTTTAATATCTGCCACAGGGAAGCCTGTTCATGCAGTGACTTTTACAGATACATTGTTTTTGTAAGTGAGATGAAGGGCCTCATATCGCTTAACAGAGTAAGTTTTGCTTTAAGAATCTATCTTTTTGAAAGGATCATCTTGCTCAGATTGAGCTAACTTATATAACCTGATAGGCAGTGATAGTCTCAAGAACTTGTCTGAAAACAGTGCTCTTTAAGGATACCGAACACATTTTTTAATAACAGTAACCTCGAGTTATGGAATTATTGTCTGATTATTAAGTGTTTGAAAATTATATTTGCATATCTGTCAGAATAGATTAATGCAACTGATACTTTAATTTGTGCATTTTGAAAAGCAGATGAGAGATTCATGCTTTTCCTTTAAACTCAAACTATGGTTATTTTCAACACATGACTTCATTTTGTTATTTTTTCATGTTACGGATCTGTCCCTATTAATATTGATGGTGAAGCCATTGGCAATGTTAACTTTTCAAGTGTTTTTATAGTAAATTATCAACAGTAAAATCTCCCAACTTTTTTGAGTAAATGTTAGCATTTGTTTTAGTGGTTGCCATTAATATATGCGTGCTTGTATATATTTTTTAAATGATTTAGTTAAAAGGGAGGAAAAATTACAAATTGAGAAGTATATTTAAAGAGACTTTGTGTTAATTAGAGCTGATTTATGAATACTCATTAAGAACAAATTGGGATAATACACAGGGGAAGATATCTTTTGTTCTGCAACCTTTCCCTGCACAGAAAATGTTAATTGTTTTCCGACTTCATTTACATAAAAGGTGAGAGGTTTCAGAGAATATTACCACTATACTGTTAATAGTATGAAGAAAGCAAATGGGTAAAGGGAGTCATTAAAAGTTGCCTGTACTTTAATAGGCAAACTCTTTTTAGGTACCAGGAATAATTTTTTAAGCACGCTCATTTAATTGGCTAACTTAAAAACTTTACTTTGAAATGGAGTGACTGAAGCAACACATTTCAGACTTCATAATAGTCTAGTATATTGAACTTTTTGGAGAAATTCTCTATAAATTACACATACCAAAAGAGAAAGTTGTAATAAGCCAGCAGTAAAGCGAACTTGGCAAACGACATTTCCTTTTATAGAACTTTCCATTAAGATCTATATAGCTCCTCTTTATGAATATTCAGTTTCAAAATGGAAATGGAAAAAATGTGTTTCTACAATTGCTGAACTCCTCTCAAATTATATCATTTGTGTTTCTTTGGACAGGCTGTGGTATAAAGTAATGAGCTTGCATGCCAGGAGTGACTTGGGCAGTCAATTACCTCAGACTCTCAAACTACTTATTACCAAAAGTTTTTCAAAATGTAGGCAGTCTTGAAATCATCAATGTCCTGTGTAAATCAAGACTATCTGGTTCAGGCACAGTGTTTCTCATTCTCAAATATGCAAGTCCTATCTTCCACATACTGCTAGAGTTGCAGCCAACCCTGCTGCCTCAGTCGGGACTGCTTCTGAGGGAATAGCAATCTAAATTATTAAAAGAAACACAAACCTTGG